GGAAAAAATTCTTTTTTAAGTCCCTAAATTTATCCTAAAATAGTATTTAAGCTCCTAAATTTACCTCAAAATAGTATTTAAACTCCAAATTAAAAATAAAGTAAATAAACCCTTTAACTGTACTAATGATGCAAATCAGCACTTCTCACAAATGGGTCAAATGGTATTTCATGTTTAACATCACCTTGAAAGTATGAACACCCATGAATAAGAGCGACTTATTTGTATCATTAGTAGAGTTTGAGAGTTTATCTAATTTATTCTTAGTTTAAGGACTTAAATGCTATTTGTGGATGAGTTTGGGAGCTTGAGAAGGGTTTTTGCCTATTTATTCCACCAAATTTAGAAAAAAAAAAAAAATGGTCCATCTTTATCCTCTTAGCCTCCCCTGCAGCTCAGCTTAGCATTCATTTCCGATGATTTTTCGTAACGGCTGAGGATTGGACACATCCAATCATGAGATGTCATCTTTATCCTTCCTAAACTTAATAATCGAACTGTCCATAATAAAAAAAAGAAAGAGATAAAACGGTGATTTCACCAAAATGAAAATTTTAAGAGAGTAATTTCTCGAAATGATGCTGACATGTCAACCTTAGACGACGCCGTGCTCAAATGCCTTTCTACCACTTACCTGCTCTAGAAAATGATACACTGAAACAGAACTCTTCGTAACCCAGAAGAAGAAATGGCAGCCATGGCTAAACGCTCGGATTTTGGAGCTTTCATGGAGAAATTTACTCTTCATCCAACATCTTCGTCCCATCAACTGCCCTTAAGTGGCCTCACTTTTGCTATTAAAGACATGTGAGTTTCTTTTTCCCATCAAGCTCGGAATTTGGAGCTTTCATGGAGAAATTATCTGTTTTCTTCTTTGTTACTATTGATTCTCTCCAAATTTTTAACTTGTAAAAGATTTGATGTGAATGGGTACGTGACTGGGTTTGGAAACCCTGATTGGGCAAGGACCCATCCGGCAGCCACGTCAACGGCGCCGGCTGTGTTGGCTGTCTTAGGTGGAGCCGTGGAGGTGCCACTTGCGTTGGCAAAACTGTCATGGATGAGATGGCATACAGGTCACCATTTCTTTGTCATTGTCTGAATGTCTGCTATATGATTGTGGTTGTTATACTTTGTTGAAAAATGGGAACTTTTTGGTTTTCAGTATAAATGGGGAAAATAAACATTATGGGACACCCAGGAACCCATGTGCACCAGATAGGGTACCTGGGGGATCTTCAAGTGGATCTGCTGTTGCAGTAGCAGCAAAGCTTGT